GGGCATTTATGGAGCTGATTGGGGGCTGAAGGGCCGAGGCGCCTCGGGGAGCCTCCGCCGGGGAGGCCCAAGTCGGGGCAGCGTCGCAGTGCCGCAGGTTTCGTTGAGTCATGGGGCGGAGGCAGGCGCAGGACAGCCAGCGCTGCAGAGGTCTGGTCGAGGCTCAACTAAGCTTCCAATCAGCGTGCGGAGATATGCAGCGCAGGCTGAGCCTACGGATCCAGCTGCACGAGCAACAGCAGAGGCACTGCTAAGAGAAATGGAAATAAGCCAAACAACAGGGAGCTGGGGAGGGAAGCCAGAAGTGTCCCCTCCAGAGCCCGAAAATTTTGACGAAGCAAGGGGTAGGTTGCAAGCAATGTTGGGTGGCCAGGGGACCTCTTCAAGGGGCACTCTACCACGACAAAGGGAAGAAACACCAAGAACAGAAACTTCATCAGGCACCCTGCCGAGACCTCGAGCAGGGCCACCTTCTCATCCATACTCTTCTCTAGATCGTCGGCACCCCATGAGTCCGCCGGCTTCGCAACAGTCCACTCAAGGCTGGGGAGGGTATGGAATGCCTGGTGGCGCCACCGGAGGCCCGCAAGGCCCATATCTGGGGATACAACGAGGAGCAGAGGGGGCGCATGGAGGGGCTCAACCAGTACAGAGCGGGGCATGGGGACCCCAAATGCCTCCCACACAATCTGAAACTTCCCTAGGGTATGGGGAGAGTTCAGGAAGGCACCTGAGTGGCCCTAGCGTCTCTTCAGGTGCCGCTCCGAGGCAAAGAGAACAAGGAACACAAACCGAAGCTCCCTCAGGAACTGTGCCGAGACATCCTGCAAGGCCGCCTTCTCATCCATTCTCTTCCCTAGATCGTCAGCGTCCCATGAGGCAGTCGGCTCCGCAAGGCTCCGCTCGAGGCTGGGGGGGGTATGGAATGCCTGGTGGCGCCACCGGAGGCCCGCAAGGCCCATATCCGGGCACAGAACGAGGAGCGGACGGACTTCAGGGAGAGACCCACCCATTACACGCCGGGACATGGAGCCTCGAATCGACCTATACACAACCTGGATCTCACACAAAATCTAGGGGAACACAGCAGATGTTGGAAGCAGGACTGCGCGGCCCTGGGGTCCCTATAGGTGGCTCTCTACAGCGAAGAAAAACTGCACCACCAGGGCGAGACACTTCTTCAGCGACCCTGCCGAGACCTCGTCCAGGGCAGCCTCCTCAACGAACCTCTTCTCTACGTCGTGACCATCCCCTGGGGCATCCGATTCCGCCAGAATCCGCTCTAGGCTGGAGAGGGTATGGAATGCCTGGTGGCGCCACCGGAGGCACAGAAGGCCCATATGGCCCATCTCCAAGGGCAGAAGAAGGAACAAAGGGCTCTCAAGGAGTGGCCCAACCACTGCAGAGCGGAGCAACGGGACCCGAATCGCCTCCTGACGGAGGTGATGCTCGCCAAAAATTTGATGAAACTAGGAGGAAGCTGGCAGGGCTACTGGGCGGCCCGGGGGCCTCTTGAAGCACCTTTGTAAGCCGAGGAAGAGAAGAAGCACCGAGAAGAGAAAGTTCTTCGGCGATCCTGCCGACACCTCTAGCAGGGTCGGCTTCTCATCTATTCTCTTCTCTAGATCATGGGGGGCCCATGGGACAGCCGCTTCCGCCAAATTCCACTCAAGGATGGGGAGGGTATGGAAGAACTAGTGGCGCCACCGGAGGCCCACAAGGCCTATATACAAGCACACAATAAGGCGAAGAGGGGTCTCGAAGAGCGGCCTAGTCAGTACTTCATAGGAACCTGGGCAGCCAGCAGGCGAAGTGAACAGACAGCCGCTATCTCATGACTAGATTAACTCCAAAACACCAT